AGGAGTATATAGATATACTGCAACAGTATACTATTATAGTTTACAATATACTGCAACGGTATATTGTAATAATCGAAGAAGAACACTATTACCTAATAGTATACTGCTACAATATACTAATATACTATAGAAGTATATAGTTATACTACAACAGTATACCATTATAGTATACAAATATATTGTTATGGTATACTGTAATAATATGCAAGATATTGTAACAATATGCTGTAATAGTATACAATATACTATAATAGTATACTTATTACCCGTAAATTCACTTGCCTTTTCCCTTTTAATTTGTTTTAAGCTTTTACCTAGCGTGAGCGGCAAATTGAAAATGCAAAAATAAATAAATTATTGTATGTTATATAATGTAACGGTATACTCTTACAATTAGATCCTTTTAGATTTTTTTTTTAAATTTTTATTAACAACTGATATTATTTCAGTTTAATAATTGAATTAAACTTTTTTTTAACTCTTTGCGTACAATTGTATACCGTGTTGGTATAACTATATACTATACTAGTATCAAATGTTATTTAATATTTTTTTGGTTGTATTAGCTACATTTAATTGGTACATAATTTAATTTTTCTTTAGTAATAATATAAAAAAAAGAATAATAAAAAATAGTGAAAATAGTAAATGAAATTAGATTATGAAGAGAAAAAGAATATAAAAAAAAGAAGTTAAATGAAATTAGAATAGGAAAAAAGAAAAAAATAAGAAGAAAACAAGAAAAAAGAAAAGGAGAAAAGAAAAAGAAAAGAAAAGAACCATAGAAATAAAAAAGAATTGGAGAATAAAGAGAAAATTCCCCACAAAACCTACTATGGGTAGGAAATGTAATTAGTTTATGGGTAAAAAAACAAATGGGTAGACAAGGGTAAATAGTTTTGTTTTTGTGGGTAACTGTGTCAAAACCCCATAAGAAAATATATATATTTGTAGCTGTAATAATGATTCCACCCTAAGTAAATTTCGTAGCATGTTTCTTGAGTTTGTCCTCTTTAAAGATGTAACGTGAAACTAAAAATGTACTTATATTAGTAAGTCAGTAACAGCGCACGAAATATTGGAAATTCTAATTAACTTTAAAACAAAAAAGTTGTACTTTCTCTTATTACAAATATTTAATATTTCTCGTTCCTTAATTTAGGTAACTAACATCAACCTCTATCATATTATATGTTGCGAAGTACTGTTATAATTTTTTGTCGTTCTAAAGTAAGTTGTGCTTACGAGTGTTTTTTTGTTATATATGATTACTGTGCTATGCTAATTTTACAGAATGAAAATCATCAAAAAGTTATTAATTCCTAGAATATCATACTAATATCCTATTGCACATATACGGTACCTATTTCTTTTGGCGTCATTTACTGCACGTAGAAGTTAAAAGGAAAGAAGCTACTATATTTTAATGTCCTCTAAAGTCAGAAAACATAAAATAGGCATGACACACAACCACCTATATCTTTGGCTCATGGAACGTGCAATTTGACGAACTCATTAAGAGAGAGAGAGAGTCAAACAATTATTAACTGGCTTTCTAAGCAAACTTTTATTAATTTACTATTGGACAAAGTTGACGTTACTTTAGATGAAACAAACTTGCAAGAAAATGAAATAGGCATGATATGTAAACACCTAACTAAATTTTTGGTGCATGGAACGTGCAATTCGTTATTCGTAGACCTTTTTTTTTTGGTTCAAATCGTAAACTTATTTAGAAGAAAGAAAAAAAAATACAGAAAGAGAAATAGCGATAGTGACAGAGAGATAGAGGGTCAAATAATAAAATTATTAACTGGCCATATAAACGAACTTAGACTACTAATTAATTTAATATAGGATAAAGTTGAATAGTTTGGTACGTAGCAGAAAAAGACGTCGCTCACATAAAAACAAAGCTTACAAGAAAATGATAGATTTAGAGGACATTGACATGTCAAACTTTCTATCGATCCAAGCATGAAATGAACCAAAAAACACAATATTTTTCCACTATATTCTTAAGAAACCTCTTCATCCACAATTTATTAGAGTATTTGTTCATTTCTTTCAATCAAAACGCCACCAATCTTCCCTCTTTTTATCGAACATCTCATGTAAACCGTTGACTTCCAAATCCTTTAATTAATTGGACCACTTCCTTTTATTCTTATACCAAATGGCTAACCAAACCATATCCACTCCAAATAATTCTCTTAAAATTAAACCATCTCTTTTCATAAGACCATGAATAACACCACCATCTCCGATCCAACTTCCGGCGATGGCGGGTTCCTCGGATCGGAAAAAATTGGAGGGTTCGGTTATACAGTTGGTGTTTCAGCTGGCATTGTTCTATTGATTGCAACTATAACTTTCACTTCATACTTTTGTACAAGAAATCAAAGAACACCACTACGAACGGCTAATCGAAACGAACATAGTTGTGTGGTGGAAATGGGAATTGATGAAAAAACACTTTTGAGTTATCCAAAGTTGTTGTACTCTGAAGCTAAGGTCAATTACAAGGACTCAACAGCTAATTGTTGTTCAATATGTTTGGCGGATTACAATAGTAAGGACATGCTTCGATTGTTGCCAGATTGTGGACATTTGTTTCACTTGAAATGTGTCGACCCATGGCTGTTATTGAATTCAAGCTGTCCAGTTTGTAGAAATTCTCCATTGCCAACTCCTTTGTCCACTCCTTTGGCTGAGGTTGTTCCTTTCGCAAGTCGACCTTCCGGATGAATACACTTGTACTACATTATTTATGTAAGAGTTTTCAAAAATGGTTTATAATATTGTGGACTACTCCATTTATTGCATGCCATAAAGTTGAGATTTTTTTTTTAAAGTTCTATTGTCCTCTGTAAAGAGGAGTGATGACATAGGATAAGCTTGCTTATGTGTCCAAGTGAGTTATAACCAATTATAATAATCATGGATTCCAATAACATAACATGATTGCAAAAGGACGGGGAGAAACAGGTTACATGAATTTATTAAAATTAGGAATTTCTTTAATGGTGGTTAAATTTGAAAAATTAAAAAAATACATGATAAACGATGTTCAATATATATTATATACCTATAAAACTTAATATTTTACTTATATACGTAGTATAATTTTTTGACAAAGGGAGGTTAATTGACCATCCTTACCAGAGTATAGCTTTGCCCCTGATTAATTCTTCCTTTTCAATGTATGTGAAGTGTCACACCTCCTTTTTCCTACACCCCGGATGGGAGTATAAGGGAGTTTTTTCCAATTTAAAGTGACAATCGAAACGACATTATTTTATTAAAAATTCAGAGTCGCCGCTTGAGATAATTTATGGTGTCCCAAGTCACCGGTTTCAAATCCCGAATTGAGGAAAGATTGACTCTATTTTACAGTCCGCGAACACAGAAATCCGGGTAAGGAATTCTGTTAACCCGGGAGAAGGTGTTAGGCATTCCCGGGTTCCGTGGTTCTAGCTCGGTTGCTCAACTGTTATAATTGGCCTATTATCTGATTCTAATACATGTTTTAACCTATGGTACAACTTTAACTTTATAACCACTTTTATTTAATTTTTTAGGAAGATTTCAACGTTATTTAAAACACGTCTTGAACCACGTCACATAAATGCACCCGCGGTCCCCGACATATTTTATCTAACATTGTTGAGATTTGGATTTGGGTCACATAAATGCACACCCGAATTTAAGGAAATTAATTTAGATAGCGCGCCTAAAGCAACTACGCACTTTCAAGTTTGCAAGGGCCATGGAAAATTCAACTAATGGCACACCTCGATTTCTAAAGAGTTAAAATTGATCACATGAGGGCCATGGGTTATGGATAGAAAATTATTGTAAAAAAAATTAGTATGGTCTTATTGATGAAATTAATGTCTAATGTCAAATAACACTATGCAAGGAGTCAAGGATCACTACATAATTTTACTATGCTTAGAAACATGCTAGCAAAATTAATAGAACTATCAACCAGACTAGATTACGGAAATATTGGGCCAGACTGTTACCCATTGCTAAGAAACCAACATAATTGAATTCCTTTATTCCCATATTTTCAAAACCAAAGCAAATATCCTTAAGGCAAAAATCAAATTTTAACCTTGTGTCCAACAACCCAAATGACCCGGCTTCAAATTAAACCACATGGCAAGCTTTTCATTTTGCAAGACTATATGGTGGCCCACCAAATTCGATTACAAAGAAATCTTGTTCAGTTAATCTATTTAACAAATAATAGAAACACACAAATGGAACTTAAAGCCATAATTATTATCACTAAATTGCAGTTGTAAGCTAATAAAGTGAAACTGAAAATCAGTATAATAATTTTCACGCCAAGAATGAATCATCCCCATGAACACAACGCACGAATAATGTAGCTCAACAACATTAAGCATCAAACCATGGATAAAATAAAGATCGAAAGTAAAGATGAACCTTTGTTGATAAAATTCTAACCTTTTGCTACATATAAAAAGCCAACAATTTCGGCTTCAGAAGTGAAAATCAACGGCAACGTTCGCTGATCGGAAAACCTCTAACAGGATAGCTCAACTTAATTTTTTCTCCTCAATTTCTATCCGACATCACTGGCCAGCCAATAGATAGGGAATGCTCAAATCGAAAGTGCACAGCCCCAGAATAGTCATTTATGTAAGACCCAGCTGCTTCGAATCACGAAGCCTCTGAAATTGTTCGGTGTCAATGAACTTCAGAGATGGACGATCGAGATACGTTTTGTCGTGGATATGGCTATGATGGCCAATTTTTTTTTCAAGTGCTGCTGGTCGTTCTCTTTTTTAAGGAAAATTCAAAGAGAAAACAAGGCTTAGCTATTATTATTTGTGTGTTTTTTTCCAGAAAATGAAGGAGTCTTCCTTTTTTTCAGAAACAGGTGCACCGTTCTATGTAGGTGAAGGATTTGATCGATTTCATCTCCCTCTCCTTTAGGTTTCCTGATTATGTTTTATATGTAGGGGTAAGGTAAGGGGTAATGGAATGACTTAATGAATGAGCTAGAAACTTGAGCCTTTATGACTAACTATGCTTAAAATTAGTTTAATTAACTAAAAATCTATCCATATAGAAATATTATCAAAAATATTAATTAGCCCTACTTAAGTAAAAATAATTATTAAAATAAGACTGACTGTTAAAATAAAACTATTTTTTTTTGGTATTTTTTTGAAGATTAAAAATGACTACAAAACCTTAATGAAACTATTTTTTTTGTAATTTTTATTTTTTTGGTAATAAAATAAAGTAAAAGAGTCAAAATTAGTTGAAATAGATATATTAAGCATAAATTAAATATTTACGTGCTAAAATATAACAAATCTTGGGGAGGGTTAAAAATCACATGTCTACAGCTGCCCCTCTTTAACTGGAAACACGAAGAGTTTTCAGACAAAGAATGACTAGACAGGTTTTTTGACCCAACCCTTATTTAAGGAGACCAAAAACTAAGAGGAAGGAGAATGTGACCGAGCTCTGGTATTTGAGCTGCCTACATATCCTTGGCTATAAAGGAATCAGGCCACGTGTAATTCAGAGGTGAGTGAGATGATGGAGTATACCAAGGTGGAGAGCTGGCCGAGATGCCGTTCCGCCGAGGTTCCGGTCCGCAATCTTGTTATTACATCAAAGATCAAAACATGAAAAAGACTAGTTAAGCCTGTCAACTACGAGTTACAAGATTCCTATCTATAAGTTTTCTGAAGCTTGATCTTGAGTCTTGAGTGGTTCTTCATGCAGACTTTAGATTTGAACCTTGACGCTTGCTAGTTGCAGGTGCTAGTTCATCCTTCTTCAGATTTTTGGATCAAGACCAGGCATGCAGTGCTTGTGACCCCGACCATGTCTTGAGCAGCCCACATCTTTCATCAACTTCTGCATTTGGATTAACTTTTTGCCTTTCTTTTTTTTCTTTATACTTGAACTGTCTTCCCTTGTTCTCCAGGTGGGCGCCTGATTGCTGAATTTAAATTGTCTTCCTTCGAAACTGCTTTTCCTTGAAACTTGAATTGTCTTCCCTTGTTCTCCAAGTGGGCGCCTGATTGCTGAACTTGAACTGTCTTCCTTCGGAACTGCTTTCCCTTGAAACTTGAACTATCTTCCCTTGAAACTTGAACTATCTTCCCTTGTTCTCCAGGTGGGCGCCTGATTGCTGAACTTGAACTGTCTTCCTTCGGAACTGCTTTCCCTTGAAACTTGAACTATCTTCCCTTGTTCTCCAGGTGGGCGCCTGATTGCTGAAACTTTCTATGTTCCCTTGTTTTTCATGTGGGTGCCTGCAATCAAAACCAACAAAACAAACGAAATTTTCTGCCCCAATTTGCACTAGGAAGATTTGTGAGTTGTTAGCAATATTGTAAACCACTTATACTATTGATGCAATGATGAGAGTAAACTAAAGACTAGACTAGGATGTGCGTCTCCTAAAAGTGATTGAGCTTGCAGAAAACTGTAAACTAAGCTTGATTAAACTAAAGACTGACCCTATTCTCCAGGCGGAGTCCCTGATTTCAAGAAAACTAAACATTGATTACTTAAGAAAACTAAAAATTGACCCCTTCTTTTCAAATCCAGACTTCCTTTTTTTCAAATTATCCTAGGAGAAAATTCGTCAGACTAGGTTTTTTATCTTAGGAGAAAGATTCATCAGACTAAGACGTTTATCCTAGGAGAAAATTCGTCAGACTAGGTTTTNTTTATCTTAGGAGAAAGATTCATCAGACTAAGACGTTTATCCTAGGAGAAAATTCATTAGACTAGGTCCTTTTTTCTCTCTTTTTTTCTTTTGTTTTTGGTATCTTAGGAGAAATATTCATCCGACTAAGACGTTTATCCTAGGAAAAAATTCATCATATTAGGTTTTCTATCTTAGGAGAAAAATTCATCAGACTAAGATTTTGATCCTGGGAGAAAGTTCATCAAACTAGTTCTTCTATCTTAGGAGAAAAATTCATCAGACTAAGATTTTTTTTTGTATCTCAGGAGAAAGATTCATGAGACTAAGATGTTTATCCTAGGAGAAAGTTCACCAGACTAGGTTTTCTATCTTAGGATAAAGGTTCATCATACTAAGACATTTATCCTAGGAGAAAAATTTATCAGACTAGGTTTTCTTATCTTAGGAGAAAGATTCATCAGACTAAGACATTTATCCCAGGAGAAAATTCATCAAACTAGGACTTTTTATCCTAGGAGGAAAAATGTAAAGATCAATGGCAAGATTTTATGCACAATAGCAAGACAAACAAAGGCAAAGATTTGAGAAACTTCCCTTTGTAGTCTCTTCTCTTCTTTTCTTTTCCTTCTCTTTTTCTTTTCTTTTTTTTTCTTTTCTTTTTCTTCTTTTTTACTTCTTTTTTTTTGAACCACTTTCCTTGCACTGCTATGTTCCTGTTTCACACAAAGAAAAATTGGTCAATTTTGAAAATGATGGTCGGTTTGTGGCCTTGAGTCTTGGGCAGCTTGGCTTCTGCTCAATCAGCTTGAGTCGGTCTCAAAAGACTTTTGTTCTGCACCAACTTTGATTGTTCCACACCAGTACCATTTGTATTTGCAGCTCAAACAACCTTATCCCAATTGGAGATCTTTGCTTAGGTGACCTTTTCCGATATCTTGAATGACTTCCTGCTTTTGAGCAATTTGTCTGCTAGAGAGAATCACCAGTTATCTTTGCTTGCGCCAAGTAGGCCGACAAGAGTCTTTTGGGCAAGTCTTTGCATGAATCCTCAAAGCATGTTGGTAGTAATAACTGAGTGTGCTAGCCAAATTCACTTTATGCAACTGAAAAGCTGGTAGCAGATTTTGAAATCTTTTCTTGCTTGTTTTGAGAAGAACTGACTCAAAGTGAAGGACACAATG